ACAGAGGCTTTCGGGCTTTGACATTAGCATTCCCGTTTAAGTACAGTCCTACTACCTCGAGCAAACGTCTTAGCTGTTAGGTCTTTAGGGCGATAACGTAGTTCCCGCCCTTCGTCATTTCGTCACTCCTTCGTATTCATGACCGAGGAGGTATCTTGCCTTTACACTGGGAGGGATCTATTTATCTATCGTCGTATCCTTTTTTTTTCCCCTTTACCAATGAATTTGCAATTCGTTGGAACAAATCGTAAAAAAGCGTGTCGTTTAAGTCCGTATACCTACCTACCTACCTATCTACCTACTATATCGGTACTTAATACTTAAATAAATATGTATTTTAACTGCACTTACGAATCTTTTTTTCTTTCTTTCTTTCTTTCTTTCTTTCTTTCTCTATTACTAACACCATTTTAAAACGATTGGTTACCGAACAAATATTTTATCTAATGAAAACAAATCTTGATTAATATTATTTATTCACAATGTCAATTCGGTATAAATCAAATATTATATGTATTCTCAAATTATTAAACAAACAAAAAAAAAAAAATATATATATATATAGTACATATTTATCAAAATCATTTCAATTGCATTTAGTAATATTCGTTATTAATTGACATATTTCGATCTATCTTAAATTACATGTTCCTATATAATGTATTATATTTAAATAAATAAAAATAATCTATTATATAGATTTGAAATTAAAAAAAAAAAAAAAAAAACTATGTTTTTTTATTGAAATTAAAAAGGGACATCGAAAATCGAAAGGCATCATCACTTTTAACGTATTATATACTTACATACACGCAATGTTCGCGTATATTTAATAAATACGTGGACACATAGGAGCGCACATAGGCGCGCGTCGCACGCGTGACATACGAGAGGTCCTGACGATGACAGTCCACCGCTTCCGCTGGTCACTCTTATACACTGCTATATCCCGTATCGCACCCTGCACCCTATAACCTTCTCTTTCTCTCTCTCTCTCTCTCTCTCTCTCTTTCACTATCATTCTCTCACTCTTTCTCCCTTTCTCTATCTCTACCGGCCATTATCATATTTATTAACTGCCGCTTGGTGCTTATATCTACACCTATTCGCTGCCATTCCTATATAATATAATCTATGCCAGTGACAGCAGCACGTGGCACGAGCTTTATCCATCCCCTTTCTATGCAATTCTCTCCCCCTTTCCAATGTGTTTTCTCTCACTCGCTCTGTCTCACTCTCTCTTTCTTCTTTCTTTTTTTTTTTTTATTTTCGTCTTCTTCAACACATTACTTTCTTTTCTCTATCAATCAATATCATTTGTCTTATTCTAGAAGAAACTTTGATACTCTTATTGTTAGTTCTATTTTTAAACGGAATAGAATAGGTGTAGGTAGATAGATATTCATACATATATGTATATTCTTTGTCCTCGACCGAAGGCTTCGAGTGATTCATTCAATACCAAATTGAAATAAAGAAGGAGAGAAAGAGAAAGAGAGAGAGAGAGAGAGAGAGAGAATGTGAGCTGTGATCTACGAACCCCGAGACGGAGCAATTAGACACGGTCGTACTTAATAAAATCGGTTAACGATTCTAAGAGAATGTTCGAGGCCCCCTTAGCCCTTGGAAAATATCCAATAACGAGCACACGAGCAAGTACTGACTCCGATAATTCCCGACAACCTGTATCTATCCATCTCTACCTTTCTCCTGTGTCCGTTTTCGAAGCTTTAACATCCTCTTGCCGCCGCCTATCAAGAAGGGGGGGATGGATCGGCTTACCTTAATAATCGTAGCGTGGCTATGCGTATCTACCTACCTACCAACCTACCTATATACTTTTACGAGAGAGCGCCCTTTTCTCTTTTAGCAAGGGGGTTACGACGTTACGGGGCCAACAGCGTACACGGCATTAAACTTTCTCTCGGTGTTGCTGTACTGTCTTTCTCTCTTTCGCTGTTTTGCTCTCGTCCTCGTCCTCGTCCTCGTCCTCGTCCTCGTCCTCGTCCTCGTCCTCGTCCTCGTCCTTGACGAGATCTCTCATTCTGTTCTTCTCTCTTTCTATTTCTCTTTCTCTCTCTCATTTTCTCTCAAAAGGGCGTTTCCATGGTGTTCCTTCGATACCACTTTTACTCTTCTCTCGAATGACTTTATGTTCGAAAAAAAGTATTTCTAAATTTTAATATACACTTTATTTAGGATTTGCTTTTATTTTGTCTACTATTTATTAAAAAAAAAAACATATTTTTAATAAATATAATCTTATTATTTCTACTCATTCTTCTTCTTCTTCTTCTTCGGTCCAATGCTGTAAGAGGATAAAGGGTAACAAAAGTAAAGACAAATATAAGAGACTTATTATTTTCGATGTTTGCATAAGTATCATTTTATTAATATCTCTGTGTTGTTTATTTACAAAACTTTTTATAATAATCTCTAAATTCTTCGTCACCGTCACACGTTCTACTAGCTATCATCGATCGATGTGCCTTTTACCTCTTTTTTTTTTTTTTTTTTTTTTATTTTTTGTTATTTTATTTTATTTTGTTTTGTTTCTCGTTTCGTTTAGTTTCGTTTTGTTTCTTTGCTTCATTTAAATCAAATTATCTCTTAATGTCGATAAAATGCTCGTTTTTTTTCTAGCGTTTTTTATTTATTACTTTTATTTATTTATTTTTATTTTTATTTTTATTTTTATTTTTTTTTTTATTTGTAATTATTATTATGTTTTTTGTTCATTAATACAATAATAAACTTCTCATTTATTTTCTTTCCTTCTTTTTCCCCCTCTCTTTACTCTCTGAAATTCGTTGTTAGGTTATGTGCAAACGACGCGCTCCTGAAAGTCGGTATTTTTAAAAATCTTTACGAGAAAAAAATGCTTGGAGAAAGAAAAAAAAAAAGAAAAAAAAAGAAAATATCAACTCTGTGATGCACCGCGAAAGAGATCGTCTCCCCATATTTTGCATATATGTGTTTCTTCTTCTGTATGTTTCTTCGTGTGTGTGTGTATGTATAGTATATATATATATATATATATATCTTTCTTTCTCGCGTGCTTGCTTTCTTGCTTGCTTACTCGCACGCATACAATCGTGCAAACTGTATGTGTATAACTGTCTCTCTGACTCTGTATTTATGTATGTATGTATAAGTGTATGTATATAACGTACGTATGAGGGTTCGTATATTCTTTGTGCGCGCGACCGCACGTGTACCTATGCTCCCTAAGCGTATATTTACATTCGCCTTAAGTCCTCATCTGTGACCTCGTTATCACAGTAAGCGGCACGAACGCGAAACGTTCTCGTCGTCCCTTTTCCGCTTTCTCTTCTTCCTTCCTAACCCTCCCACTTTTTCACCCACTCACTTTCACTCTCTTTCTTTCTTTCTTTCTTTCTTTCTTTCTATCTTTCTATCTCTCTTTATTTCTTTCTTTATTTCTTTCTAGTTCTCTCGCGTTCGCTAGCGAAAAGAAGAAAAACGATTGAATTTTGTCTTCATCTAGGTATTTTTATTTTCTTTTTTCTTTTAATCTCGCATGTATATATATATACGTGCTTTCGCAAGAAAAGAAAAGACATAGAAAAGGAAAGTGTTGTTTGTGTGTGTGGTATGTGTGTCTGGTGTGTGTGAAAGAGAGAGAGAGTTAGTGCGAACATTTTTATCTCTCTTTTTTTTATTTTTCTTTCTTTCTCGTAGCCTATCGACGCGGCCTGTTAAAACGAATAAAATTATATATATATATATCTACATCAGCGCATCATCTATACACACGATTTCTTTCTCATTCTTTCTTTTTCTTCGACGTTAGTTGCTGTACGAACGTGTATACTATCAAGGGAGAAAGAAAATGATAGAAAGAGATAGAAAGAGGGTATAAAGAAGTGCGAAGTATAGACACGATTCTAAAGAAATCACATCCCTCATGGAATAGACATATTCAGAATACGGTTGCGCTAAGCTTCGTTCAAAAAAAAATATTCTCTCGCGCCAAAGGCCACGCGATCGACGTGACTTTGTCACTTTTCAAAAAGCTTGAACCACCCCCTATCCTCTCTCTCTCTCTCTCTCTCAACCCTCCCTTTTTATACCTACACCTCGACGAGAACATTTCTATTTTTCTTCTTTTTCTTCTTCTATTTCTTCTATTTCTGTCCGCTCCTTCTTGTTCTTTTTCTTCTTCTTCTTTTTCTTCTTCTTCTTATGATTATTATTATTAATTGTTTGAATTTAGTACAGTCAAATTTGTTGTCGACGAAAATGTCGATGTTTAGTCGTAGATTTCGTTTGAAAAACAAAATTATAATTTATTAATATCAGAAATAAGTTATAGAATATATAACTATATTATATATATATATATATTTATTTATATATTGTATATAACGAAAATGATGGTAAAAATAGTTTCAACGTATAGAAAAAAAAACAACGAAAAAAAAAAAAAGAAAAATAAGAAGAAAAAACATATAAATAAAAATAAACATCATTTACAATAGATCGATAAATTTGTTGTGTTGTTTTTTTTCCTGTTATTTTTTTTCTTTTCTTTTTTTTTTTCTTATACAATTTGTGAAATGTTAGACGAGTAGTTTCGATGACGAGTGCCAACGGTTAAACTCTCCGCGCTAACGTTTGAGTGGCAATCAAAGCAAATTTGGATTTCAATTAGATCGACTCGATTAGCAACACAAAGCAGACGGGTTGCGTTGGTAACAGACTCGTGGGGAGATAGGAAGTACTGTACTCGCCGATGCAACAATGTCGAACGAGTGCGTCTCCCGTTTCGTGTGTCGGTAAAATCGAGTTGGCGATTCTGCCGATACTACTGGGTGTACGGTTTCGCCTAATTGAAATCGATACCTTCGTTCGTAACCTTTGAAACAATTAAATTGGAACATTACGATATTGAACGGGATGCTTTTTTTTCTTCTACTTTATCAAAATTTTGAACGAATCTTTTTAACAAAAAGAAACGGAGAATTGTTACCTTTCATTCTTTTTCTTGTTCTTTCCTCTTTCTCGTTAAAAGAAAGAAAGAAAGAAAAAAAAAAATATTGTTTAAAAATTTAGCGCCGAGCACTTTGTTTACCAACATCTTCGATTTAAAAGGAAAGGATCGAAAAACTAATTAATTAACGGCTAAATGATAGACGCTTAAAAATTAATAGTAGGTCCTTCTATCGGCCATTTAACAAAGTCAATTTTAGTTATGAAGTTATCTCTTTTTTTTTAGTGACGTTCGCGTAAAAACGATGTGGGCCGGTGTTGTTACTTGCATTCGCATCTAACAATAAGCGAAATTTACACTTGGCTCGTAATAATCAGCGTTTATCTCACATAATCGACGAACGATCGATCGATAAAGACCCTTCTAACGAGATTGCCGTTCGATCGAACTTTTTTGCGATGACGCACGTAAAACCATTAGCAGGTGTAGGCGTAATGTAAGGAAAAAAGGATTGTTACATATTCTATTTTGTTTTTTCTTTTTTAAGTTCATTCACTCGCGCGTTTTTTTTTTCAATACTTCGGCGTTTTCTCTTTATTTTTCACTAAAATCACACATATGCGATTAGAACGTCCGAGTAGAAATAATTCGCGCACATTCCTCCGTTCGTAGATCATTCCCGAAAATGTCGACAAGGCAAGATCTTTGCAAAAGTCCATTGAAGAAGGGCAGCCCGCGAAAATCGTATATACATATACGTATGTTACATTATGTACGCATATATATGCATATATATCGTATATAATAAGTCTGTAAAGAAGAGGTCATAGCAGACTGTTGGATAAAAAATGACGTCGATCGGGAATGGATAGATCGATATTAGAAGAAAATCGATAGTTCGCGGTCCGTTGTTCCTTCTTTTTTTAGTTGCTGTCGTCAGGAATGGAGTACCAGGCAGCTGCAGTATCCGCGGCGAGGGTCCATGGGCCCGTAACGGAGGGATTGGCGTAGGCCGCGGCCCCCGCCGCGGATGGCGCGCACTACCAAGCCCGGCTCTGCAAGGGCAGATAAGCGCCGCACTGCGGTTGCTGTTGCTGTTGCATGCTCTGCTGGGCTCCCGTCCGCGTGTAAGAGCAATGCTGGAGGCTCTGGCTGGAGGTCATCACGTGACTCACCCCCACTACTGAGTGATGCGACACCGAGGAGGAGGCGGCGTGGTGCGAGCCGTGGGGACTGGAGGCCGCCGTCATGTGGGGTGCGGGGCTCGCTAGGGCGGCGCTAGGCCCTCCGCGGCTACCCTCGTTGCCGCCCCCGCCACCGCTCCCGCAGGGCTTCCCGTCCTTCACCAGTACCGGTACCGCTACCCGCCGTGGCGAGCTCGCACTCTGAAACACACGCGTATTGTCTTTTACCACTTATTGTCCTCTCCAACAACGCAACCTTCCCAACAACTTTCCCAACATCCTATCGCCGTCCCTTCCATTTGTATCGCTTCTGCTATCCGTCCTACAACGGATGATAGCCAACCGACTAATTCGAAATTCAGCGAACTGAAAGCTCACCTCGTGCGAACAAACACTACGTTGCTGCTGCTGTTACTGCTGCTGCTGCTGTCGCTGTTGCTGCTGCTGCTGCTACTACCTCGGATGCTTCTTGCTACCGTCGACCGCCGGCTGCCTCTACGCGTTTAACGCTTACCGCTGCTGGCATGCCAAACAGAAGCCGAACCGAGCCAACAACCACCGAGTACCTGCCGAGACGACCACTCAGCTGTATCAACACTCGCTACACGACATTCCTTTTCGATCCTCCCGACGACCTCCCCGACGACTAGCAGCGCGCGCTACGCGAGCTCTTTTAATAATATAATCCTTCAACAAAAAAAAAAAAAAAAAAAAAAAATCCAGCTAAAACCTTGCTTTTTTTCTCTCTTTTTTTTTTTATATTCTCCTCTTTTGCTCTTCAACGACGACCGATCGAAAACTTCCATTTGTATCGTACCATGAAATTTGCGTCGCGATACCAGTCGGGAGAGAAAAAGATAGATAGATAGATAGATGAGGGAGAGGTAGAGAGAGGAAATTACGAGGTCGATAGGAACCTCGAGAGCCCCGCTACCAACTTAGCTCGGACGACGCGCGTTTAACGTTACGAACCTAAGTGCAGGCATGCCCATGCACTTCACACTGACAAAGTGACGATTACGTTAAACGCATGACGGTCCGCGCGCGCGTCACGCGTCACGCCACTTTAGCCACTTCAACGCGTGTTAAACGATTTCCGGCGAAAATAGCTGTGCTTAGGAGACGAGTAGCGCTAGAGATGGTAAAGAGTGTCAAAGAGAAATAGAGAAAGAAGGTATAATGAGGCCCGGAGCTGCTGCTGCTGCTGCTACTGCTGTTGCTGCTGCGATGATGATGATGATGATGAAGATGATGATGATGATGATGATGATGATGACGACGATGAACGACAACCGATCGACGGGAAGTAATCGCGGAAATACGATCAACTTTCTACGCGGGAGGGAAAATGAGAACGGATAAGCTATCGATAACTTTCAATATACCTAGCTCTCTCTTTCTCTCTGTTGCTATCGCAAAGAACACGCACACCTTTTTTCTTTTTTTTTTTTTTTTTTTCCCCGACACAAGTCGAACCATTTATCGGAGATTCCAGACGAGGAAAATGTGTTGCAGGGAAAAACACTTCTCGTGGAAATTGATGTAATTAACTAAAAGCTACCTCCTCGGTTGCGTTGGTAGACCTCCACCCAACCTTACCCTACTACCTCACCATCCCTCTCCATCTCCTCGGCTCTTTACAGAAGCTTCGACCGAACAAAGAAGGCGGAGGGATATTAAAAGATTTCTGCCGGGACCTCTCGTTTCCGCGACGAATGGAATTCAATGGCTTCTATAAACGGGGAAGTGGTTTTTAAATCTAATAACCGCTGTTTTACTCGCACATGTAATTACATTAGACGGTCCCCGATCTTTCAACAAAAGTGCCCGCGCCCAACGAAATCTTTCATTATCATCATTATCCTTCTATTTAAGAAAGAGATACCGAATTCATCCCTGCGAAATATCATCATTATTTTATCGTACCCTCTCCAATCGTTCCCTATATATTTATTCTTACACAATTTATCACCACCGATAAATGTATACATGATTTTATATTAGAATCTATCAGAGATTTAAAAAAAAAAAAAAAATAGAAAAAAAAAACAAACAAACAAACAAATACAAGAGGAGGAAAAAAACTAGATCGACGATTTTTCGCGTTACGAGTTTTTTAAGGGTGTCGTGTCGATCGATGTGAATGGGTCGTATTGGTAATCCCGATTCGCATCCAGGTGTTGCGCGTGACTGTACCAACGGCAAGATGGCGACCGGCACTCGAGAGCCCGTTTCCGCGCACCCCTGCAGGATCTCTCAAACCCCCCACCCCACCCCACCCCTT